GTTCTTACTTTGTGAAATAGATCAAATTGAATACATTTCCAATCATTCTCATTTCACAACTCCAAATCCTTTTTCATAAGTGTAAGAACATCAAATTCTTGCCACTTATAGAATATGCTAGATTCTAACATTTTATGCAATCATCCTTTCGTAATATCACTGCACCAAAGTCACAAAGACTATTGCCAATGAAAATACAAAGTCCTCTATCGGAGATTGTTACAAGACAATTCCTTAGATATGATGTCTCTCACTTAAAGTACATTCCTTTGAACATCCTTTTGCATAAAAGTTTCTAATCTAGTCATAGATTTTTCAATATTCAATTTCCCAATATGGACACATTTCCATATTTTCCATATGACAACTCATTCTTAATAGAATCTTATCTATTCATAATAATGTCGATATGGTCCATCCAATATGGAAACATTTCCATATTTTCCATATGACAACTTATTAATAGAATCTTTTCTATTCATAATAATGTCGATTTGGTCCATTCAATACCATGCTTCCAACTACTCATAAGCAACCAATCATCGTCGAACTTTGGATTGTCCTTTGATAGTTGTTTAATTATTTTAGTCAAAACCGATTCTAGTCCTTTTTCCCTCTAAATGCGCTAGACATTTGGAAAATTTTAGAATGGTCAAATATTAAAGCATTTGCAATGGATCCTATACCCGAAGCGTATGGGACACGATGCATAATGTTTTATTTGCTATGTTCTCAAAATTCGAATTGTGAATAGGAATGTCGTAATCATAATTGAAATTTTAAGAACACACTATGTACCTTTGACTAAATTTATTAACATTTCTCAACCTAAGCCTTTAGATTTGAAATGAAGCATAATATTCTCTCCCTTAATTATAGCAAAACAACTTTACAACCCTTACCACTTTGCAAGGTATAACTCTTGTTTTCTATAATTAATATTGCCAACTTGCAATACGTGCCTTAATAATCATACAATCACACTATGTACCTTTTGGTCATAAGAACATCCTATGTGCTCATACAAACCCTAATGCTTGGATCTAGGTTTCTCTATTGTACATGCAAGTTATCCAAGACTATAAACCCTAATTCTAGCATTCAAGTAATCATATTAACATGAGAATAGGTTTAAGATCATACCTTGATTGTTTAGTAGCAATAACAATCCCAAATCTCCTTGTGTTGACTTTAGAAAGCTTAGAGTCACAAATGTCACTCCTATAATGGTTCACAAACACCATACGCAAGAGGATGAAGAGGAGAGAGGATGGAGGTTGCCCAAAAACGTGTGAAACTCTAGAACAAAGCTTAGCCACGTTTTTGGTCCTTAAGGGGTTTGTATATAGTGAGGCTATTAGGGTTATCTAACAAGGAACCCCTAATTTGGATTCTTAAGCCTTAAGCAACCCATGGACTCCTTTCCTTAAGGCCTTGGACGATTTCCCCATGGGTTTCCCCATAGAATTCGTCCACTCCTCAATACAAGAAAATCCATGGCCCAAATTGCAATTATCTTATAATTACAATTCTAGTCCCTTAAGTTTAATTAATCTCTTTCAGTCACAAAACTAATTACCAATTAATTATTGACTAATATTAATTAAACAATATGATTTCTCCTTTAATATATTATTCTCATAATATATTAATAAATCATATTTAATCCTTTCTCTCCATAATTCATCCTATCAAGTTGCTTTGGTGAAGGCAACCCAAAAGGACCATGCACCATCGGGTCAAGTACATACCAAAATAGTTATGGACTTAGACACTAATCCAACACATATTATGTAGATATAAATACGTATGTAGTTTAAATCATATATAAATTGTATAAAATTGTTCATCCAGCATAGATAGCAAGTATACAGATAATATGCACACTTAGCACGTTGTTTATATAAAATACTTCATATCTATGTGTAAGATGAAAGGGGCCCTGCACTCACCTGAAAAGGTGGTGATTCTGAACTCAGACAACACTTCGCTTCTTAAAAATAATTTCCTTCGACGAAACTTGTATTATTACCACTAGAGTTTAGTCTATTATTCATCGAGACTAATTAATAGTCTAGCTATTATTACTATTATATAAGCGTTAAACAATAGTTATATAACCCATAATAATAACCCAAGTACTTATTATAAGTTCATAATAACGTTACTATAATTAAATAAAAGCTATATTAAAAATAGCGTAGTCGTAGCTCACTTATATTAGGTTTTATAGAAAACCAGGCTTTGTTTGGAATAGCGTTCCCGAGCCGAAAAGCTCTTCTTCTCGGAGCCGTCGAGCACTCCGGGGCTTCCGCCTCATGCTAGGGAGGTTCCATAGGCTTTTTTTGTTTTTTTTTTTTTTTTTTTTTTTTTGGGGGGGGGGGTCGGGGTAAGATGAAAGGGACCATGCACTCACCTGAAAAGGTGGTGATTCCGAACTCAGACAACACTTCGCTTCTTAAAAATAATTTCCTTCGACGAAACCTAGTAATATTACCACTAGAGTTTAGTCTATTATTCATCGAGATTAGTTAATAGTCTAGCTGTTATTACTATTATATAAGCGTTAAACAATAGTTATATAATCCATAATAATAGCCCAAGTATTTATTATAAGTTCCTAATAACGTTACTATAATTAAATAAAAGCTATATTAAAAATAGCATAGGCGTAGCTCACTTACATTAGGTTTTATAGAAAACCAGGCTTTATTTGGAATAGCGTTCCCGAGCCGAAAAGCTCTTCTTCACGGAGCCGTCGAGCACTCTGGGGCTTCCGCCTCATGCTATGGAGGTTCCCTAGGCTTTTTTTTTTTTGGGGGGGGGGGTCGGGGTTAGAGAGAGGTTCTAGAGAGTGAGTAAAGAGAAGAAATAATAGGAAATGTGTGAAGAAAATGAGGGTGGGAGAGGTTCTATTTATAGGGTGAAATATGGCTGGACTTGGTGCCAATGTCACAATCTGGTGGTAAGACTTGGAGAGAACGCAATGACCAAGATTGTGCCACGTCACCCATTTTCGCACAACATATTTCCGACTTCTAAAATTCGTAACTTTCACATACGAGCTTCGTTTTTGAAGTTCTATATATTCACGCATAGGTAAAATTAAGATCTACAACTTTTATTTTGATTCCATCGGCTAATTATTAACCAATCTTAAATTTATCAGTAGGAGGAGATTATACTGGTAAATGTCTACGTAAAATTCATAACTTCTACATACGGACTCCGTTTTCATCTGTATTTTTATCGTTGAGTTCCTATTAATGAGATTCTATACTCTCATTTAGGTCTCGTAAGCCAAAAACCGCTCGAACTAAAATTCGAGTTTCGGGTCGTGCATTGCTAGGCCAAATCTTAGAAAATTCATAACTTCCACATACGAAGTCAGATTTGGGCGTTCCTATTTTGTATGTTCTTGGTTTAACGTATACCAAAAATTTTGTTTAGATCAGTAAGGCTAAAAAGTACTTTATCAAAAATTCATTATTTGCGTCTCTCGGTGTCGTGCCGATTTTGCCGTAAAATTTCGACGAGCCATAACTTCTTTGTTATAACTCGGATTTCAGCGTTCTTTATATGTACGGAACCCTTGAGACATATTCTAAAACTTAATTAAGATTATTTATTCTAAATAATCTTTTGTCGAAAAGTCGTTTTCGACCCCTATTATATCTAAATTGATTATCCCGAATTTGCGGGCGTTACATGTACTGTGATGCATGCATTTCAAGGTTAGGCGTGGTACTGATGTAGAAGGGGCACGTGATAGCTTACGCCTCGAGGCATTTGAAGCCTCATGAGGCGAATTACCCCACTCACGACTTGGAATTAGGGGCAGTGGTGTTCGTCCTCAAGATTTGGAGTCACTACTTGTATGGGTTGCGTTGCACCATCTATATTGATCACAAGAGTTTGAAGTATTTGAAGGATCAATAGAACCGCAATATGAGACAGAGGAGGTGGATGGACGTGCTGAATAATTATGATTGTGAGATCCTATACCATCCAGGGAAGGCTAATATGGTGGCCGATGCTTTGAGCCGCAAGACGGAGGGGTCCCCGATTGGGAACATTTGTATGAGGATGAAGGTGATCTCTCCATTATTAGACATGATCAAGGAGGCCTAGTTCGAGGGAGTGAAGAGAGAGAACTAGAAGATAGAGCGGATTCGGGGAGAGTATCCTCTGTTTGTTAAGGATGGTCGTGGTCTTTTGACACAGTGTTTCCGAGTCTGGGTATCAGTGTCTGGAGGGGTAAAATAGAGGATATTAGCGGAGGCACACAAGTCCAAGTTCTCTATACATCCAGGGGGTACAAAAATATATAGAGACCTGATATTGGCACTACTAGAAAAACATCTTTTTACGACGCTCATTGCGCGTCGTAAAATGCTCAGACGACGCGCAAATGCGCGTCAAGGAAGGCCTTGTCATAAAGAGAGACGACGCGCATTTACGACGCCCATTTATGACGCGCATTTACGACGCGCGGTTATGACACGCAATGCGTATCAAGGAAGACCTTGTCATAAAGGAAGACGACACGCATTTGCGTGTCGTAAGCTTACGACGCGCATGTTTATGACACACAATGCGTATCAAGGAAGCCCCAGTCATAAATGAAGACGACACACATTTTTGCGTGTGATAATTTTAAATGTTTTTAAAATTATATATTTTTGGTAGATTTACTAATTTTCAAATTAAATAACACATTACAAGTCTCATAATATAAAATAAAATACCATAAACAATAAAGATAATTTATTGCACTAATATGTCAAATACAAATAATCATTCCAATAGTAAGTAAATGTAACACATTGCTAATATTGCATAATATTTATTATAGAAAACAAAACATGTACAACATTAAAAGAAAAGGAGGACCTGCAAGCCCTAAATCCATTAAGTGTGGTCTGAACTCCAGTGAACTCTCATTCCAATTCCTGTTAAGTAACTTGGTCTAGGTGGACTAACAGGTGGAGTTCTAAAAGTCAAAGGCAGGTGACCTAAAAAAAAGATAAACTTTTTACTAAAAAAGAAAAGGAGAATGAATAAAGATAAGGAATTAAGAGACTACTGACCTCAAGATCAGCAAACTCGAACCATGGGCAACAATCCAAGATTTCACAAATGAAAACAATTGTGGCTCTTACAAGAAACCCTGCATTTGCTTCAAGCATATCAAAAACCTTCAGAAACCTCCATAAACCTGCATTTGGCAATAACATATGCATTTTTTAGCTGCATGTATATAGAAAACAAGTAGTACCAAGTCAATAGACAAAGGAAGGTAAAACTGAAACTTGAAAATTAAAGATAAGTTAAATTACACTTTCAGCTTAAAAAGATAATATATATATATATATATATATATATATATATATATATATATATATATATATATATATATATATATATATATTACTCGTATAGAGAAGCATTCAGAATGTAAGATTTCATGTAAAAGGTAGTAAAGTAGATGTAATTGTAACATCTAAAAAATATCATCTTTTGTTCTTCTCCATTCAATCCTTGCGAACCACCTGCAGATGAAGCATCTAATTAAGCTCTTTTAATCAACTCAGATATCTAAATTACCTTTTGTTCTTCAGGATTTTAAATTACCTTTTGTGGTGGAATGTGATGCTTCGGGGCGAGGTATCGGTTCTATACTTATGCAAAATCAGAAACCGATAGCCTATTTTAGTAACGCATTAAGTGACCGCAACTTAGTTAAATCGGCCTACGAACGAGAAATCATGGCTTTAGTGCTTTCAATTCAACATTGGTGTTCCTATTTGCTTGGTACCACTTTTACCGTGTATACAGATCAAAAGAGTCTAAAATTTTTGCTGCAAAAACGAATTACTAGCCCCGATCAGCAGAATTGGGTAGCAAAGTTGTTGGGACATGACTTTGAGATATGTTATAAACCAGGCAGGGAAAATAGAGTTGCTGATGATCTGTCAAGAAGGGCAGAAGATGGTGAAATTATGGCACTGGTCTCAGAACCTTCATGGCTACAAGGAGGGGAGTTGTTGACAGAAACACAACATGATGCTGATCTACAAAGGTTAAAGACTGATTGTGAATCAAATCCTACATATCATCCCAGTTATCAAGTAAAAAATGGAGTTTTATATTACAGGGGGCGATTGTTAATTTCAAGAAAATCAAAATTTATTCCTGATCTTCTGAAAGAATTCCACGAATCAGCATATGGGGGCACTCAGGATACTATCGCACCTATCGAAGATTAGCGGGTAACCTCTATTGGTCGGGTATGGTTTCACGAGTGAAAGAGTGTGTGAAGGCTTGTATGACTTCAAACAATTAAAAAAATAGTCATATCATCAGATGATAATACTGTATGACCTGAGTGTATGTATTTCAGTCCTCGAAGAAGCTGATAAAGAAAGAATTGATGGTGTTCTGGTGTTAAGTCATTGTTTCCTTTAATAACCTGATGTAGACCAGATCCCATAAAACTCTCAATTTTGTCTTCATTATAAATATAAGTTGTGTACTTTTGGATACTTACCAGACTTGTAGAGATGAAAACCTTCTTTTTTGTGCTTCCTAATACCAACATCAGGATTTGTAGAGATGAATGTGTTGTTGTCAACCTGACCTCTGGATACCTTTCCAGAACTTTGAATCATCATGGTCTGAAAAAGATGAACAAACCAATATTGTATAGTAATAATTTTGTCGATTAAGCAATCTAGGTGTTTATAATTATAGAATTTAAGGTGTTTACCATTCTTATGTGATAAATGACAAGCTTTTTAAGGCTAATTCGGTTATGAGGATAAGGAGGGCATTTATGTGTTTTGGTCAGATGTTCGATAGAAAGGTAAGGTATGATATGCTTACCTGGTATCTCTGAATCTGATATTCCTCAATCGTAGTCACATACTGCGAATAAGTATTTGTAAGTCCAGCAATCACAACATGAAATTCTTCTTTTTCTTCTTCCTCTCCAAATGAAGTCAAAACTTCCTTCACCGCATCACGCAGACGTCTCCCGGCCATTGTTGTGAATTCTACAAAAACCTTAAAAACAAGCGGAAAATCAGTAACACTAAGTATGCCAAGTATAAGATTTAATGGTTTTATGTCCTTATATGTTACATGGATCTGTATAGTTTATGAGTTTAAGCGAAAGTATGGTTCTTTGAATGAATGAATATTGTGGGTAAAAAATGATCTGAAGAATGGAGCAATAAATAATTACCTCCTGGAACACTGAGAATAACAAGTTGCCCGATTTGCAAAATCTGAATTGGTAGTGTGGCAGGCTGCATAAAGTTGCCCAGTCGTATGGATCATGCATTTCACAAGTGTCGATCAAAATGGGTTTGGGATCCTGAAAATTGATCTGCTCCTCATCTGGTTTTTTCAGTAACCCTCCAACCAGCTTCCAAATGCATTTCCCTAAAACATTACATTGCTAAATTTAGATCCATTAATTTAACAATTAAGTGTGTAGTGTAGACATATAAAACCCTGCCTGGTCATCTCCCTGTTTGAAGTCAAATGCTCCAGGCCCATCAGTGGTTCCAGCAGCAAAAGCAAATCTCATAGCAGCAGGGCACGTTTTGACATTATTATTATTATTATTAGTTGCTTCTAAAAAGTTAGACTTTGAGGTTGGAAAAATCAATGTATGTGTGGCATTAATTAACTTTCCCTTTCAGTTGTTCAGACACACTTTCAAAGAGTTGTGTGGCTTTTTTAAATTTCCGTTCACCAATGATACGTGTGCTCTCGAATTCATCTGGGTACCTAAATAAAATCTCCAACAATATAAGTTTGATACTACTATTAAAACTCAAGCTAGTGTTTTTGGGCCAATGGAATGGAATGGTTCATTCCATTGGAATAAAAGAAACAGAATGGACCTTTCTTACATTTTGTTATTCTTCATTAAAGAGCCAGTGAGTGTTTCTTTTTCATTCCATCATGATTTTGATTATGTTATAACTTTACTATCTGAAAATATTCTTTTTTATTACATCCTTATTTGCCTTCTAATGATGTTTAATTTTTTAGTTTAGTAATATAAATTCTATAATTATAAATTATAAATATAATATATATAGAATGGTAAATACCTCACTTTGATAATGATAACCTATCTCGCATCGGGTCCCGTATCTTCAAAAGATTCTACCTTATAACATGATGTTCAGTCTAGGTGGTTAGTAGAGAGGAATACCATTGGTTAAATATCTTTTCACCGTGTTTTTCTGGTAAAAGCTATTATATTCACCATATATCATTGTCTTTACTTATATTTGAAATTTTTTTGTTTCTAATATTCACATTAATGATAATAGTAATCAGAGTGCAATCTGGGCATCACATTCATAACAAATTTGTTGCTCTACAGAGGATTGTAGTGGCGCTATTGAGGGAACTATTTGAGCCTCTTCTAAGACCCAACAAAAAGTGGAAAAATAACAGAGGTCTGGTGTTCAGCTTATATCTTTTCTAGAGAGAAACAGAGAAAAATAACAGATTTTAGTGATCACCTTACAAAAATAAAAATCAACAACATAGTCTTCCTCCTCTTCCCATTTACTCTCCATTTTTCTAAACCAACGTAAGAAGAAACCAACCTATTAGAGTGTTGATTCCATTTCTTGCTTCTCGTCACCACATTGATGAAAACAAAACTTATTAAATTAAGGATTTTATGTTCTGTAAACCAAATCAAAAAGAAATAAACAGCTCTGATAAACTTCATGTAAGAAAAATAGAAAAATAATATATACCTTTTTTCAAGGAACCATGTTTGGGATACTCACAGTGGTGTGTATCTGTGATTGCAACCCAGAGAGGGAGGGGTGTGGTGGCTGAGCGATGTTAATATAGAATAATGAAGACTGAAGGTGGTGGTGGTGCATTGTGGGTGCGGTAGTCTGGTGGATGAGTTGGTGGCGGTGTTCATTGTGGCGGAAGGATTAGGGTTTCTAGAGTGAGAAACGAAAGGGGGAAGTGGGGGGAATGTCTGCAGAAGGAAGCATGTAATCAAGATCTTTGAAGAAGCGTGCCTAGAAGAAAAGAAGAAGGATATTCGGTGCCGATTAATAACGAAGCAACTCCTCAATTTAGGTGTGTGTTTGCCTAGAAATCTGTTCGATTGCTTTGATTTAGGCGTGAGATGTTGTAATTTCCCCTGTGTTCGTGTTCAGCTCCGCTACCCTGGGCTAAAAAAAATAATATACGATTAATTTTGGTCCAATTAAACTATACATACCATAAAAGCTCTCGAAAACTTGATGCCCCCAAATCAATGATGCCTTAGGCCATAGCTTGCTATTCTAGAAGATTGTGTCATAAGATGGTAAACGAGCACCATGACAACCACTACAACCACCATCTGTGCAACTAAACAACCGAAGCAAGAAGATATGGTATCTGGTATTAGGGTTTGTAGAGAAAAGGGAAGAAGAGAATGAAAGGAGATCTTGAAGCGGGATATTTAAAAATTTTAAAATTTTAAGAGGATGCGATTTCCCCCTTGAATGCACATTTTGAGTGAAAAATTATAAAGCTACACTCACAGAGGACGCACATGCGCCCTCCGTGTTTGTATCTTTTTTTTGTGGGACAATAGTTTTAGGGCACGCAAAAATGCGCGTCCAAAATTCTTCAGATTTCTAAAGATCTGACATTATTTTTAGGGCACGCCCGTTTGCGTATCATTAATCAGTGCGTATCATAAAAAGCGCGTCATTAAAGGTCTGTTTTCTAGTAGGGTGGGTTATTGGTGGCCCTGCATGAAGCGAGAGATAATCTGGTTTATGGAGTGGTGCTTGACCTGTAGGAAGATCAAGGCTGAGCATCAACGACCTCATGGCAAGGTACAGCCGCTACCCATTCACATGTGGAAATGGGAAAAGATCCCTATGGACTTCATCACGAAGTTACCAAGGATGGCGAGGGGTGTGGATGCCATACAGGTGATCGTGGAGAGACTGATAAAGTGTGCCCACTTCATTCCGATTTCGGTGAGTATATCTGCTGAGAAGTTGGCGGATATTTATATGCGAGAGGTGGTGGCTAGACACGGGGTGCCAGTGTCGGTAGTTTGCGACAGGGATGTTCAGTTTGCAAAATGGACAATTAAATAATATAATGAAGAATGAATGAGGTGTATTAATATAACATGCAATATCTAAATGGACGAACTAATTTGTATGCATAAATGAGTTGAAAAAGTCAAACTTGGTTAAATTCCTAGTCAAAGTCAAGCTCAAAAAGTGAAAAAATCAATTAAGGTCGACAAAGACTGAATACGCTCGATGTACTAAGTCACTACACTCAATATAAATGATCACTTCCTAATTACAGGGCTTTAGCCTGGTACGCTTAGTGTACCATCAGGTATGCCTAACATACTCGACTAGTTTCATTTTCCTTCATTAAGTGCTTAGTCCATTAAGATATCACGTCTAAATCTTAGATCTAGTCCCAAACATCATTCTAAGTCATAAAGTTTCGAACTTATGATTTTCCATGACTAGTAGCGTTCCAAAAATCAAAAACATAACTTAAAACACAAACCAATGCATAATAACTCTTGCATGGAGGGAAGAAAGGGACCAAGATCGCATTTTTATGGTTCCTACCACTCTAAAACATCTGAAAGGATAACTCTGGTGGTTTAGAGTAAGCCACACTCATGAACACCAAGATTATGGGAGCAAAAAGCTTATAAAACCCAAAACTAGCTAGATTTAGGAAATGTATCATCAAGGTTCAAGCTTTATACCTTATGGAGTTGAGAAAAGCAATGTCAGCTCTGGATCCCCAAGCTTAAGTTTGCTTAGACTTCTCTTTCATCCAAAATGCACCCAACACACATAAAAAGGCTCAATATTTTCTCTAGGGGGCTAGGGTTTCGATTTAGAGGTTTAAGAGGGTGGTGGTTGATGTTAGGAAGGAACCCAAGGATTTAGAGTCTATAAATAGGGCCCAAAACTAAGAAATTAGGATTTTAACATTGTGGTGATACGCTTAGCATAGCACCCTAAAAACATGTCCCCTTCAGCCTAGTACCCCCAACGTACTAGCTAGTGTATGTTCAGCGCACTGTCGTACTCCCTTTCTCTAGCTTAACTTCAAACAACCATAACTTCTTCATTTCAACTTCGTTTTTGATGATCTTTATATCCACAAAAGGAATTGCAGAGCTCTATAATTATATCTTGATCTTTATGACTAAAAACACCTCGAACTAAAACCTATTTATGCAACAAGCCAGAAACATAACCTTTCCCATTTTACCCCTCAGCTTCCATCAAATAATCCAAGTTGTAAGTCACTTATCCAACACCTTACACCTCCAATAGAGTCAAATCCATTACATTGAAGCCCAAGGCCTACATTTGATCTATTTATTATCCATGCTCTTGAAATAAGAATTTCTCAAAAAAGTATGTTACATTTCTCCCCTACATAAATTAGATTTCATCCTTGAAATTTGTCTTAGTTAAGATCCTTGAAGCAACATCGACATTTTCCATTGGCTCTCTCTAACCATCTCGATATCAAGGCATATCATAAATTAAGAAACTTGAGAGACCACTCTATAACTCACATATATCAACCAACAAACCAATAACTTGAGAATGCTCAACCATAAAATTTTCCTTCTCTCCCTAATTACATAAACCCACTTCTAGAGAAAACCAATCAAACCAGAAACTCTCAGAGCTACAACTACAAACCAAATCCAATTATATATTCCCCAAAACCGGTAAACCGTTAGTCTAAACTTCAAAAACATACCCTAGGGCTGATGAGCATCCAACCGTCACACCTACCCCTAGCTCCTTAACTACAAATACCACCCAACCATGCAAAAAGAATACTCAAAACATCCTAATCATGAATTTCACCTAATTCAATATTCTGGAAATTATGATCGAAAACCTTATATACACTCTTGACTTCCCGACAAGTTATCACCGACCCGCTACTCCCATGATTATAAAGATGGTCAATCCAAGAATCTCACGTTGTATCCAAATCCCTCGTCAGACCAGGTGTCTCCCCACCTTCTAAAACACTCAGTACATTTACGAAAAATTTCATGACTCGAGATTTTAGAACTGATACTTGACATTGGTAACCAAGAATCAAATAGGTGGCCAACAAGCAAATGAGATCTGTAATGCAAATGTTCAACAATTGACTTATAATGCACAAATAATACTCCCACAAACTCTTACCGTCTACATGATCCAAACCGACTGGTCGCTAAATCACCTGACTCCCACTCAATGCACTGTCACCCGAACATTCCAATAAGACTAATGATCCAAGACTCAAGAGCCTCAATTAATTGGCTACTAGGTCTCTCCCATATGAATCATTCCACCACCGGTTCACGATACAATTTGACACCATCCAACAATAGATATGATAAGCTCACAGTTCCTCACCATTCTCACCAAATGTCATTCTCAGCCATGAAGATTCCCGAACAGCGTCCGGTGGGCCTATAGACATATGTCCATCATCCCACCAACCTACAAGAA